CGGGGCAATGCAGTTGTGCCTCCTTCATCAAGGCCTGCGGCCAGATTCAGATAGTGGGCCGATTTCCCTTTGGCATTTTCGGCCTCTATACCCAGCATGCATTGTCGGCCTCACGTTCGAGTGCCCAGGGCCTAACTAACTCAGAGGCCCTGGGCTTTCAGCATTTGCTGAAATCCGAGACTCGGTGCACTCCAACCAACTGGCGTGCTGCAACTGTATGGACCCCACTTCGTGAAATGTTGGCACAGAGGGCTCTTGTTGATTTGCTGGCCCGCCTTCACTTAGGGCGGGCACGAGTGCAAGGAACATGAGTATGGACGAAGCACATAAATCCAGAATGCAAAATCACACTGAAGACCAAGTAGTCAAAGCCAAAGCCGATAGTACAATGGAACCGAGTAACCATCCAATTGAGAATGATACCAAAGAATCGTGAGTCAATGTCCATGGCCCACAGGGTAACACCAACAGCATAACCCAATGTAGCTCTCTCTCATGAGTGGCGCCAGGCACCCTATCTACTCTACAGCTACAGCCTACAACTACARCAATGAAAAGCAACCAGACAACTTGACTACCAGCGAGTGATGATGTCAACACCAATGCCGACCTCCCTCTTCACCCAGGTACGTGTCCACTTCCCACACTCTCCCTTGTTACCCACACAGCGCCCTTCACCTCCGAAGTACCACCTTCGCCCTTCACCTCTCTGCGCCCTCTGCAGCCCGGCTATGGCCGCCAAGCGCCCTGGGGCGCAGGCAGCGCCCTACCGCACAGCGCTGGCCTGCCTTGCACCTCACTTAGCGCAGCGCAGCAGCAGCCAGCAGCTCGCATTTGCGCAGCGTGCCGGCATTGCCCGCAATGGCCAAGATCCCTGCTGCCTCGCCCTGCTTGCCTATATGCCAATGCAGCATGTGGGCGGCCTCCCTTCAGCCTGCGACCGGGGCCCAGAGGCTGAACTCAGCCCGATACAGTTGGGCCCCCGGAGATGCAGTTGTGCCTCTCTCATCCAGGCCTGCGGCCAGATTCAGACAGTGGGCCGATTTCCCTTTGCATTTTCGGCCTCTTTACCCAGCGTGCATTGTCGGCCTCACGTTCAGGAGCCCAGGGCCTAACTAACTCAGAGGCCCTGGGCATTTCAGCATTTGCTGAGATCCGAAACTCGTTGCACTCCAACCAACTGGCGTGCTGCAACTGTAAGGACCCCACTTCGTGAAATGTATGCACAGAGGGCTATTGTTGATTTGCTGGCCCGCCTCCACTTAGGGCGGGCACGAGGCTTGCTGGGGCCTTAGCCCAGAACATGTACATCATGGCAAGGCCCCTTTCTTGAGGGCTCATTCCTCTCCATCCCCCTTAGCTTCGAAAGTCCGCTGAGATGCTTACTTCGCAGGTGCCTTCCCTTTTAGCTTCCGTTCATAATCTGCCACCACCTGAGGAGCTGTCTCAAACAGTTCTTCCCTGGTAAACCACCGATCTTCTTTGGGATCCGTGTGATGCCTGAATCTGACACGGTACTCTCTCTTGGGTTTAGGAGGTCTGCCTCGACCCAGCGGCTTCGCAACAGGCATGTCCCTGTGATCCACAATGTCGTCGATGTCGACTTGTCCATCCATGGTTGGGGGCAGCATTGATCTCCTGGAAGGGAATTGATCAGTCTCAGCGAAAGGTGCAAGCTTTGAGGCATGAAAGACTGGGTGAGTGCGTAGATGCCCAGGGACACAAATGACATATGTGGGACCATCCAACTCTTTTCCCACTACATCTAGGACTTCCCAGGGACCAAAGTACTGCGGCATTAGTTTGCGAGAGATTCAGAACTCGTGTCCTAACTCGTTAGCCTTGACCCAGACTCGTTCCCCTACCTGAAATGTGGACTGTCTACGATGTTGATTCTCAGAAGCGATCATCGCTTGCTGAGCTTTCTTCATATGCTCGACAGCCTCCTGCAGCAACTTCTCATACTGCACACCATACTCTAGTGTGCCGGGAGTTGCAGCGGTTCGGTTTTCAGGCAGGAGGAAGTCTAGTGCTGATGTAGGCTCCCATCCCAAGTGTAGCTGATTCGGACTGACGCCGGTACTGCTATGTATAGCATTGTTGTACAGGCTGGCGATGAGAGGTAACTGCTCATCCCAGTCTTCCTGGCTGGGCTTGATGTAGTGCCTCAGCAAGTGTTGTACAACTCTATTCATTTGCTCGGCTTGTCCGTTGGCTTCGGGATGATTCCCTGAAGTCATCTGAAGTTGACTGCCCATCTGTTCTGCAGTCTTCTTCCACAACTCACTTGTGAATCGGATGTCTCGGTCACTAATGATAGTCTTTGGTAAACCAAAGTCCCTTACCCAGTTGTCTTTGAACAACTTGATAACATATTCCGTCCTGGCTGTTTCTGGCATCGGTATTAGTCTAGCGTACTTGGTGAATCTGTCAATGATGACGAATATGTGCCTCTTACCACTCTTGCTGCTCACTAGGGTGTCCATGAAATCCATGGAAACACTCAGTCCTGGACCATCAGGAATAGGTAAAGGTTTCAACAACCCAAGCGGTGCTTGAGTTCGCGGCTTGTCCCGCTGACAGACCTGACAGGTCTCAACATACTTTCTCGCGTCATCTAACATTCTGGGCCACCAAAATCGTTGTACTAAGTTAGCACTCGTCTTCTTGTAGCCAAAGTGCCCAGTTGCGTCATGGCATTCACCTAAAAATAAACTACGCAACTGTTCACTAGATGGAACTACCAATCTCTTTATTCCGGCCTTATCAAGGTAGAGTAGCTCGTCCACCATCACAAACTCAC